TCAGGTTAGAAAATTGCAAACATGCCTCTGAGGGGAAAGTGGCACCAAATAATAAGTTTCATGGTTACTATTTTTAAAGTTGTTTTAATAATATGTCTGAAAGGGGTTAAAAAAGCTGCTTCAAGCATAAGAATCCAGTTGTTAGTGTGAATGTTTGTATTTAGGACTTTGCATTGAGACTCACTCACAGTGAGCTATAGCATCAATTAATTATGCTTTCAAAAAACATCCCTGAATGTTGACAGCCTTGCTGCAAGATGAATTTTTTAAGTGTCTGCATTTCTGGATAAACAGGAATATTTGTGCATTTATAGCTGTGCCAGTTTAAAATCTGTTGGGTCTTCTAGACCCAATACCAAGATGGAATAATACTGATCCATTTCTGAATTGGCAATATTAAAAAAGACACTGTTTTTCCTAGGCCTCGTGCAAATTAATGGATTAGGCAGTAATGGGCTGATTAGTATTTCACATGAAGAGTTTTACCATCATGATTTCCTTTCTCAGTCTCATCCGTGAACTGAAAATCTATGATAAAGATTTCCCGGACCTGAACTCTGGAGTCTATGTTTTTGAAGTGATTCAAGGAACTGCTGCTGCAAGGTAAGAACCTAAAGATGAAGGCTACATCATCTGCCTCTTCATGGGCATTGCAGGGGCTTCTCAAATGCTCCTATTGCAGTGTTCATGTAAGAGCTCTATACAACCTTCTTTAATGCTATGATTTCTGAATGGAGGCTGAGATTTTGCTCACTCCGAGTCCACACCGGGATGGCTTTCTGTGAGTGGCCATTACAAGTACAAGATCAGTTCAAGTCGGAATCCATTTCCGCCCACCCCCCATTCTAAAAATATATAATTTTCAAATCTGAAAGACCAAATGATTTTGGTGTGTTTGGGATGAAAGGGCCTATTGTGCTTTCTGGACTTGGGCAAAATTCTGGCTGTTGTCAATGGGAGACTTGCTTGAGTAGAGAATTGTGCCTTAAATCAGGACAGATTTATCAAGCGTGTTAGTTTTTTGTATTTTTGCTAGAAATACTGAGAGTTGTGTAACATCCTGTGAAGATGATCACTTATTGTGTTCTTGAGTAGAAAAGGATTGACTTTTTATATAGTTTAACTCTTCATAACTTTTTTTCATCCTTATAACACTCCAGGGTGGTGCTCACTAGCAGTAAGTCATAAAATAAACATGTTAGAGCTGTAATTATGAAATATATGTACACAATGACTACAGAATGCTGCCAGTGTTCAGGGCACTGCTGAGACCAGAATGATATTAATTCATAGATTCTAAGGCCAGATGGGACTATTATGATAATCGAGTCTGATTTCCTGTATAACCCAGGCCAGGGAACTTCCCCAAAATAATTCCTAGAGCAGGTAATTTAGAAAAACTTCCAGTCTTGATTTAAAAGTTGCCAGTGATGGAAGAACTACCATGACCTTTTGTAAACTGTTCCAATGGTTAATTACTCTCACTGTTCATGCCTTATTTCCAGTCTTAAGTGTCTAGATGTCAAGACTAGTAGATTCTGTTGTACTTTAAACCAGAAATGGAGAATGTCTTCCAAAGCTTAAGTTCAAGAGGAATTGCTAAGGGAGTGCTGAATCTGTCACACGCAAACTGATACCATTACGCTATGGGGAGAAAAACCACATGAATGCTACTGCTTTCCTCTTTGGGTGTGTCTACATTGCAATTGACAGGTGTAGGCACATCTGTGTTAGCTTTGATCTAGAATACAAGTAACAATAGCAGTGTAGCTGCCCAGCATCGACTAGCCTGAGAACAACCCTGCCCAGGACTCTGGATATGTATTGAGCAGCTAGTAATTAGTACCACAATGCAGTTCTCTGTTGTTTCAAGTCCTGCTGGTTACACTGAATAGTTATCAACTAACAGCTCTTTGCATGCTTTGTTTCTATGTAGTAGGGCCTTTTCTGAGAGTTATATTGCATCGTAACTAGCAGCTTGTGGCTAGCCCAGTGACTCTAATAAACCCATCCCCAATGTGTATGCTAAAAAGATAGGTGATCATTCTAGGAAACATGCTGTAGTTCTGAGGCAATAACATTGACTGACATTTGGATACAGATGGTTAGAAGCTGGGGTGTGATCCATGCAAGCCTGTGAATGCTGCATGCACTCTAGAATGAAGAAATTTTGGAGTCACTGAGATAAGCGTGGGCAATCGGTACAAGCAAGAAACAGCACATAGCAGATTCTCCTTGCATGGAGAGTTGTTTCTATTACAGTCGTCATCTTCTCCCTCTTCTCTTGTATGCAGAAGTCAACAACTGTGTTAGTTTAATAGTAATACTGTTTGTGTGTAGTTCTAATAGCTAGATTATCTGAATTAATTTACAGTGCCTACCTCTAGAGTAGTGGACTGACTTAAGTTGCCCTTGTTGAATTTTAAAGTCCTTAATGATGTAGGCCCTAGCTGTATTCAAGACCTATTTTGAGGCATATCTGTACACAGACAGCACTGGCCTTTTACATAGATTTCAGCACTGTGACTTAGGCAGGAGTTCTGACTGGGTTCTGAAGCTTACTCCCTGCTTTATCATCTGATTCAAAGTCTCTGGTTTCTTTGTTGCAGCTCTGGCATGAGAGATGGTGATGTGATTATCAGCATTAATGGAAAAACAGTCACCTCAACAGAGGATGTAAATGAAGCTGTTAAAAACAATGATGTTCTTTCAATTGTGGTTCGTCGAGGAAATGAAGATGTGATCTTGAATATAATTCCAGAAGAAATTGATTAAAGGCTGACTTCCATTAGAAATAGTTTCATTAAACAAAGTCAGACCTGCACTATGTGGCTTAAGATAAAGCTTATACTGTATGCAGTTTTTTCCTAGTATAATGCAGGGAAAAAATTTTCACAAGTAGTCCAGAAAGCAATATTTAGACACAGTTAAAAAAATCCTAAGTGAATTCTAAGATACACAGTGGAAAAAAACATCAGTTTGATTTATTTTACTTCAAAGGCATTTGAAAGTGACTATTGAAGTATCTGTGTTTTTTTTTCCCCCCTTTCCATATTTAAAGGAATTTAAAGCTAGCCAAAAAATACTGGTTGTAGTCCACATTGTGGACTAAGCTACTTCTATTGTCTAAACTTGAAATACTATTGAAGTTAGATGCAGATCTCCTATTACTGAGAACTTGAGGCCTAGTCAAATTCTGATTGAAGTCAAAGGGAGTTGAATTCATTTTGGCGCTTTTGCTGAAAGTTAGCTATCATTTGTTCTTTACTTGCTTTTCTGTAGCATTTTGTGGAATATAAAAAACTGACTTTGGAAAAATAGCACTTTCCAGTAGATAAGTTTTCCACATGGATAGTGGAAACAGCTAAACTCTTAGCTACCGATACTTGTTTCTAAAGCTTTAAGATTGAGCAGAGATTTTTAGGTGCTTTAATTTTTGGGTGCTCAAACAGCCTGATTTTCAGAAAGTGCTGGGCACACTCTCCCTGGAAATCAGGCCCCTTCACTATCAACCAAAAACAGAGGTAGCCTAGAGTTACTAATCACTCTTGGAAATTATGACCATGCTCACTTGATAAAGTATTAAGAAAAAATGTTTGACTCCAAAGGTGTGAATGGAAGATTAAAAATACCAGCTACTTAGCAGTGTGAGTTCATAATGGTGGACTAGTGTAAAAATCAGATACTAAAATGCCCAGATTCCATTTACATATATTCTTTAATGCTGCCTTGTGTCTCCCTTGCTTGTTTTTGTGTTCTTAGTTTCTGCCGTGATCCTTCTTCTACCACCCCTGCCTTACAGTTACCTTCGGTTGTACCCTTCTCCCCAGTCCTCCTCAAAATTACACTTGTGGTATATTTGTGTATTACACTGCTATGAACCTTTAACGTACTACATGCTTTTAACTAAGCATACAAGTTGCTAGAGCTACTGCCTGTTGGAACAGAGCTACAACTGGGAAGATATGTTCTTCTCTACTTGTGCTATCTTACAAATATCCTGAACAGACACCTGGACTTGGCCATGAGCTGTACTGTCCCTCATGTATTTCTCCCCTTCCCCTCCAATCCTGGAAAATGAGTGGAATTGTACAGCTGTCTTCAGAGCACACACACTTGCCTAGAAAACCTGCTGCAGCTTCCCCTAGAAATCAATGCCAAAACTTCCTGTTACCAGTGCAGTTGGTGATTCTGACCCTAGCCAAAATTTACAAATCAGTGCTTGTGTTTATGCAGTGGATTTCTATAACTTATTTTACAGTTGTTCTACCTTTCCTTCACCCTGTTTAGCATAGAAGTCAAAAGCACAGCAAATTCATTCACATACACCAATGACCTAAATTTCTCCCTCTAATTCCAAGAGCTTTAATAGTTAATTTCAGTCTAACTACACACACACACACAAAAGCCTCCTTAGCTATTTTTACCCTACAGCTAATGAAACTTAAACTATGGCAAGTGGAACTTTGCATAGAAGGTTGAACAGACCGACTCCTACACCTACTACAGCAACTAAGATAGTGCAGCAGCACCTGTTTTTCCATACACTTTTTATTTTAAGACATTTGCTTGACTTTCTGTGCTTGTAGGTTCTGCTCCTTTTACAAAGGCAAGAAGGTTCACCTCTCTAAAGTATTCTTGTACAATGCCATGTATAAGACCTAGGAACCAATGTTGAATAAGTTAAAGTTGTGCTGCTCAAAGCTTCTCCCATTTCTACATATCACTGAGTTAAGTAAATAGCTCATAAGCTTAATTGTTGATCACTTCCACAGCACCCTGATATTTGTCATTAAGGAAAATTTCATCACGTGTACTTCTATAATTCAATAAACCTCTGAAAAATCCACTGCACTGGGAACAGCTACACTTTACAGTGGAGAGGCTAAAAATAGCACTTTAGCACATGCTATTGTGAAACATTAGCATGGAAGTGAACATCCAAAGAAAGGTACAATACTTAACTGCCATGTCAAATCTGTTATTCTGGAGAATAGGAAGAATATACAGTGAGTAGTTTATTTGTATATGAAATCTGAGGTATGTACAAAGAAGTTAGGCATAGCATTGTTCTGCAACTGCATTTACTATGCAAATCCAGAATATAATTTATACAAACAAAAAAAAATAGCAGAAAAGCAGGCTGTTCTGACTCTGCAGAACAAATGTATCCAGTCATACAGGGACAGATGCCACATAACTTCTCCTGCTGTCAATTCTCAAATAGTATTTTTTCTGTTCAGTAAGTCGTGCACCAGTTGCTGCCATCACTAGGCATCAACCCTCCAGTAATAAGGAGAATAAGATCAACAAACCACCAGATACCAAGTCCTCCAAGAGTTAGTAGTTTCCCCACTGCTGTCCCTGTATGGCCCAGACAGAATCGATCCACTCCAAAACAACCCAGGAAGAAGGAGTAGAGTAAAGTGGTTATAAAGTAGTGGCCCGTGTACCTACAATAAATGAAGAATGAATAAATTAAAACCTCAAATACAGTTTCATTTGAGGAAGAAAAACACCCTTTCATAAACTTGAGCCTTTGCTGTGTCAACCTCCTCAATTTTTACAGTGTAGCTCCCTCTAATGGACTTTGGGGAATTTACATATTATAACCCTTAGGAAAATATGGGCCAATGAACAATGCAATCCAATAAAACACAAAGGAGTTCCCACGGTATCCTGAGGCAGGGACCAAATCCATTAGACAGAGGAAGGATAAAAATACATACAAAGTTACAACAACCCAGCCAATAGTTAGAGCAGCAAGTTACAATGACGTCTTAGCTACCAACCCAATCTTTCAAAATGTAATATATTTCTGGAGGAAATAAATCTTACTTTATACATGGTTTATTCCCTCGTAGAAAAGTCCGAGGCTCTGCACACTCAATACCATCTAGTGCTTTGCACTGCACTGGAGTGTGGTCTACGTCACTATAGGCTTGGCCACCAAACTGTCAGAGGGGAAACAAATTACAGACAAAATTGAGAAATTATTTACCTGGGGGAGGAGGGAGGGAGGAAAAGGCCAGTTAAAAGGATATTTTCTTATCACAAAGTAAAAGGGGAGAGGGCCCTCAGTACTAAGTGTTTAATACTTATTGTTGGTTCAGTAAATGCCTGCAGTCTTGTTCAGTCACTATGTTATTTTTGGTCCTCAATGATGTTTATAACTCCTCCGAGTTTAGAATGATCTGCAAGTTTCATTAACATACACTCTATGCTTCTCCTCGCACCCTATCATGTCACTATGAATTCTTTGTCAGTGGATAAAGATTTAACTGTGCCCTAGTGGCACATAGTCCACAATATATCACCTTGTACATCAGCTAACTGAAAAACCTCAAGTGCTTCAATCCTGTTGCTTTTCCCATTGGAAGCAGAGCAGATTACTGTGGAGGGATGAGAAAGAAAATAGTAGTTTTCACCCTCACAAAACTGCTCGTGGGATAGAAAAGTGGACCCTGCACTTTTACCTCTTCCCTAAGAAGTCCATGATCAGGAAGAGCAAGTGCCTTGGAAACCTTTTCCTTTCACTTCCTGAATACTGCTTCTGCCAGGAGAGGGGAACTTCCACAATCCATAAACGTCTATGGGTGAGGGAGAAGCACATCCCCAAATCTCCTGGCTGCAGAGCTACAGCAGAAAGCTCTTGTGGAGGTATTCTATTCCCTTATGCTGGAATAGCACTCTTGGTTGCAATTATTACAAACCACCCTCTTCTTCTAAGGAGAAGTTCCATTCAGGTTAAGGCTCCAGGGATATCCAAGACATTTCCCCCCCCCCCCCCCCCACGTGTGTGAATACCCTTTGAGAAGTTACAAAAGCATCTTTTTTCAGCCCACCTTAACACATCCGTAACCTAATTCTCGCTGTGCAGTAATATTTCCAACATGGTCTACTGGATCCTCACATTCAATGAACTCCTCTGGCCTGTAAATGATCAAAACCCATCATGTTCACACAGTCAAATGTGTGTGTGGGGGGGGGGGGGGAGGAGAGAGAGAGAATAAGTTAACTCAAAAAGGAAAACATCATGTTGAGGTCCCCTATCTTCCCCTTCACACGCACCATCACGAGCCCTGTCACCCATTCTTGCATGTGCTCCATTTCTTATCATCCCCTCTATCCCAGCCCATCACCTGTCTTCCCTGCATACATCCCACTTTGTCATCCCTTTCTGAATGCCTCTTTCTGCTGACCACTATGCAGGGGTCTCTTTGCTCAATATAAACCTGTTCTCAGCACAAGACCAGCTCCTCGCATTGCCCTTTCCACTGTGCCCCAGCTCCCTGCCTTAGCATCACATCACTCCCCAGACCTCTCCTTACCCCACATTGTTCTTCCTCCACGCCCCCATACCTCTCCTCCTCCGCCCCCAGCCCCCCTCATCACTCCCGCTCCCCACCCCGCCCTCAGCAGCCCCCTGTCCTCTCCCACTCACAGGTAGGTGCAGAGCACAAGTGGCGCCTGCGGGTCCCCGTAGTCACAGGCGGGGGCCGGGCTGCCCGCGGGCTGGTCGGTCTCGGTCTCCCCGGGGTCCTCGCTCTCCGCCCCGGTCGCGTTGTGCTGGTGGCTCCGGGACACGCCCTGCAGCAGCAGCAGGTTCCCCAGCAGCAGCGCTGCTTGCCCGCACAGCAGCACGTAACTCACCGGCCAGCCGACCCCCGGCACCATCGTGCCCGCCCTGCCCGCCTCCCCGGCGCCCCCACCTGGCCTGCGCTGCTAGGAAACACCGCCAAAAACCACGCTGGTTAGGCCGCACCGGAGAGAGCGCAACCTATCTCCTCCCGACCAATGGGAGTGCTGAATGTTTTCGAGGAGGCGGGACCTCGGGACGAATAGCCCACTCCACCAATAGATCCGCACATTATCGGCCAATCAGCGATAGGGAAGCAGCAAGCTTGGTTGGCTGGCAGAGAGGGGCGGTACTACTGCACGCAGTAACAAGATTGGTTACGCCGCTGGCTCTGGCGACCAATGGGTGAAGAGGGGGCGGGGAAAGGCCACAAGCTCAGGATAGAGTGGTGTGGTTGTTGACTTGGGGTGTGTCTACACTGTACAGTGAGCCAGGTTTCAGCCCCAACCTCCTTCCATCTACATACAAAGCAAAACAGCTTGCCTTGCCTTGCCTTGCCTTGCCTTGCCTTGCTGAGGTGTTCAGAGCCCGAGTCCTGCTGTGACTTGGGGCTATCAGTGGGTCCTTGGTATCTCCTCTAGGCTGGTGCATACGATGTTCAAGTACAAAGTCATAGATGTTAAGGCCAGAAAACCATTGTGATCATCTAGTCTCCCGTTTCTCAAATGCAGCCACGGGGGTTTTCCTGCGGCCATGGCCATTTCCTGGGCTGGAAGGGAGGAGCATCAGCCGCTCCCTTTCATCCCTGTTGCTCCTACATGCACTGTCTCTCTGGAGACACAGGTGGGAAACACAGTGCTTAAGGAGCAATGTGAGGCGGTGAGGAAGGGTGAGAAGGTGGGCTGCGAGGCGAGCAGCGGCTCGGCGGGCCTCACGGAGGAGTGAGGAGGCAAGCAGCGAGCCAGCAGCAGGGTGAGGAGATGAGCGGGTGGGCTGCCTGCAAGCTGGGGAGTGAGGAGGCAAGCAGGGGTATGTGTGTGAGGAAGCGAGCGGTGAGGCGAGCAGTGGGCGGGGGCATGAGGAAGCGAGCGGTGAGGCGAGCAGCGGGCGGGGAGGTGAGAAGGCGAGAGGCGAGTGGGGGAGGTGAGGAGGTGAGCAGCAGGGAGGATGGGGGCGGGGGTGAGGAGGCAAGCGGCGAGCCAGCAGCAGGGTGACGAGGTGGGGTCTGGCTGCAAGTGGGGGAGTGACAAGGTGGACAGAGGGGTGTCTGTGGCGGGGCAGTGAGGTGAGCGGTGGATGGGGGAGTGAGGAGGGACACAGGAGCTGGGCGGGGGCTGAGGAGGTGAGTAGCGGGCGCATGGGCAGCAGGTAAAGCCCCCCCCTTTGGAGAGGCTAGCCCCCAACTCCACCCCTTCTGCTTGCGCTCCCTTCCGGGCAGCTGGAGCCCCGAGACCCGGTGCACCTGGAGCCACAAGCCCCCCGCCTGGAGAAGCCCCCAGCGGCTCCCCCGTGTCCGGAGCCCAGGGCTGGCCAAAGCCCCATGACCCACCCTCCGCACACCTGCCCGGAGAAGCCCTGGGTTGGCCAAAACCCGGAGTGCTCCTCCCCTCATCCGGAGGAGCTCCGGGCTGGCCAAAGCCTTGCGCCCGCCCCCCTTCCCCCCGCCCAGAGGAGCCCTGGGCCAGGCACATCCGTGCATCCCCTCCACAGACCCAAGCCACCCAGATATGTTTTTCATTATTATTTGGACTTCTATTATGTCAAAGCATTTTTAAATTTACTTCACAATTGTTATACAGACAACCACTTTTACCAAAAAAAGCAAAAGAAACAATAATAAAAAAGACAAGAACGTACAAAGCTCCTTATTTGTGGTTTCTATTCTGTTAGGGCCAATAAAGAATAGAGATAATTGTGCATGTTTTTTATTATTGTCTGCAAAAAACCCCCAAAACCTTACATAAATAAATTATAATGATTTGAATGTGTATATGTGCATATTACTTTTAAATAATTTTAGGAAAAAGTGTCAGTGCGGTCACCCGCCAGAGTTGGTGGCCGCACTCTGAGGCCACCAAAACATTTGTTGTGAGAAACCCTGACTAGTCTGACGCCCTGTGTAACATTAGCCATAGGACTTCCCTGAATTCATTCTTGCTTCAAGTCCAATAGTTGCGGTTGGACTCAAGAATATTTTTTATACAAACAACCAACAGTGATGTAAAGATTTCCAGCGAAAGCAAATAATTCACTGCAACTGTTGGTAAATAAATACTACAACCATCTTACAGCACCCCTGCTACCAGGCTGAGATACTGGTTCAGGAGTGACTCCAAAAGAAGTGTGCTTCCCATTGAACCATCAGAAAATAAAATAGCTTTACCTCTTAGCTATAATCATGGGAACTCCTGTGATGTGCCTTTTCTTATTCTTTCTACAGCTTTCCTACAAGAGGTGTCAAAGTAGAGAGGACCCTAATTTCCTCCCTGTGCTACTACTCCCTACTTCAGTCCCTCAGCTGAACCTACCTGATGGATCACCACTTTTTGAGGATGATGAGGGATCATACTGGTTTTAAAACGTACTTGCGCATAAGTTTCCCTAGGCTGCCTCATGGAGAACTGTTTATCTAATAAAAGCCAGGATCCCTCTATCTGATAAATGAATGTGCAGTGGCAAGCCTCAGCCCCTCTACTGTGTTATTTTATCAATTAAATTATACATTAATGACTGCAGCATCAGGGTCAATGTTTGTGACTATATGCTACTGTAGTGTTCTTCATGCCTTGATGGTGTTTCCCAGCAACAGATTCTGCTAGGGATTTAATTGGTTTCTGGCCTTCCAAGAAAACCAAAGACCTAACATTTTATTAAAAAAATTTTTTTTAAGAATATACAGGCGAGTGCCCCACGTTATCCACTAATGGGGATTTGAAATACAAATGTCTTTTTTCCTTAGGTTTTCTTTAAAATATTTATAAAATCACAATTGCAGGATGTGAGGGATCCAATTACTGTATCTGATAATGCTTTCATCCTTGTGCCCTCACTGCCCCTCAGGTTTCCTGGGCCATCACTTAGGTTTTAAGGCTGGAGTCTCATGCTCTGTGACCAATAACCAGGATATTACCTACCATAGTAAAGCAGACTGGAGATATTGTTTTCTCTCAAAGGTGTCAGATAATATCCCCTGAATAAATCAAGTATAGTATCCACTTTGGGAAAAAACATAACAAATAAGAGATGTTAGTCAGGGTCTTACATAAGGTCCAGGAAAGCTAGCAAACATACTAGCTCCCTTTTTATGGCATGGTAAAAACTGCCTGTGTAGAGGAGTCACTATGTCATGTGGTTTAGTTCCATATTATCACCAGCTATGATTTCCTGTGGGGTGGGGGGGAATGATATGTCCAACATGCACATTGCACTTTTATTAACATACATATTTTCTTGATAACGTCACTTCCCTGAGACATTTCCAGCTTCTGACTCTTGCCCTTGTTTACTCGAGGGTATCAGATAACCTGTATTTAAATCTCAGAACCCAGAAATTAAACATGTCCTAGTTTCATATTTACTAATTTCCCCCAAAGTCTTCATCTTCAACACTTTTCTCATATCCCTGGATTTTTGTTTTGTTATAATACCAAAGTCTGAGCCATAGGAAGACTCATTCCATGAAGAGTTCTTCGACCTGTGTCGAACACACCCTTTGTTGTATGTGTTGTTTTGCAGAGGTGAGCAAGGAGCCTCGATTTAATTTTGGATGACATTTCCTGACACTTTGAGAGTTAGTTTAGTTTCTTTGATTTTTCTCTTATCTGGCGTTCACTTGTCTGAATTTCAACTATACAGATACACAGGTAAATGTGCAACACTTATTTGTGAATTTGTTTCTGAAATTACCAAGTGTAATCCACCCTGCCCCCAGGATGTACCTTTCCCCAGCTCCTTGTGCCTCCCCCACCCCCGAATTTCTGCCTAGGGTGACCAGATATCCTGATTTTATAGGGACAGTTCGGATATTTGGGGCTTTTTCTTATATAGATACCAACAGCCCCCCAACCCCCTGTCCCGATTTTTCACACTTGCTGTCTGGTCATCCTATTTCTGCCCCTGGGGTGTCCCCTGTGCCAGCTCCTTGTGCCTATTCCTTTCCCCACGATCCCTACCCCTGGGGTGTCCCCACCCCAGCTGCTTGTGCCTGCCCCCCCGTGGATCCCTGCCCCTGGGCAGGGGGCTGAGAACCATTGAACCCAACTGTAAACCCTGTGTGTGATGGAAACCGCTTCCAGCCCGGGGGCAGCAGCTCCCCCAATTCCAGCCCCGGTGTCCTTGCCCCAGGTCCTTGTGCCCCCGCCCCCAGCGTGTCCCCAGGTCCTTGTGCTGGGCGGTCCGGATCCCTGCCCTGGGGTGCCCCCGCCCCAGCTCCACCCCCGGCCGGCGGGAGGAGGCGGCCCGCGCCGGGGCCGGGGCTGGCGCTGGGCTGAGGAGGCCGCGCCGCGCAGGCTCCATAGGACGCCGAGCGGCCGCCCGAGCTGGAGCCGGGGATGGGGACGGGGATGGCCTGGGCCCGGGCCGCGGGGAGCTGCCTCTTCCTCCTGCTCCTCGCGAGGCCGGGCCTGCCGGCGGAGCGGCCAGGTGAGTGGGGCTGCGGGGAAGGACCCGCGGTGGGGCTGGCAGGGGCCCCTGGAAGCGACCCCGGGCTCCCCGCACACAGGAGTCCCGAAACTGGGGGGTCCCAGCCTAGAGTCCCCAGCGCCCGTGTGAAGGGCAGTACTGAGGGACAGCAGCCCCCCCCATTCCCCAGGGCTCCCCGCACAGAGAGGTCCTAAATCCAGGGGGTCCCAGCACAGACCCCAAACTTCAGGGAAGGGAAGTGCTCTGTACAGGACCCCACAGATCTCATGAGGCTGTGTGAGCACATGGTCCCCAAAACCTTGTGTAAGGGGCAGCGCCCTGTGACCGCTGTCTGCCCCTACCTCTTCTTCCCAGGGATTAGAGCACATCATAGAGGTCCTGGATTCGGGGAGTGCACTACGGCCTTTGGCATGGGGTGCACTCTGGGCAGCAGGGCCCCAAGCGCAGAGAGCTCTCGGAGTAAATGTGGGGACCCCAGGAGCTTGGACAAAGGGGAGGCCTTTGGGATGTACCTAACAAAAAGATCTAGCTGTGATTCATGATAACCAAATGCAAATTTGTAATCTGCTTTGAAAATGGCCCTTTTTGTTGAACCGAATTTGAATGAGTTATCAAAATCTCATTTATGTAAGGCATGTACTCAGTTAAGTTTCCAAACCAGGGAAACTGGTTTCTTTAAAGGCAGATATGGAAAAGATCCTTCACATCTCTGTTTTTGCCCATGGAAACCTGGAGTGTTGGAAGATCAGCCTCGGGGTTCTCAAATTTCATTGCACCACGACCCCCTTCTGACAACCAAAATTAGTTTGTGACTCCAGAGGGAAGCCTAAGCCTGCCCGAGCCCGGGGGTCAAAGCCAAAGCTCCACCACCCTGGGTGGGTGTGGATGGAGGGGGAGAGCCAAAGCCCAAGGGCTTCAGCCCCGGGTGGGAGGCTTGCAACCTGAGCCCCGTGACCCTTGTGCGTCAGCTTTAACCCCGGGCCCCAGCAAGTCTAATGCCAGCCCTGGTGACCCCATTAAAACAGGGTTGCAACCTACAGTTTGAGAACTGCTGATCTATCTCATTATCTTCTGGATTGTAGAGTTTTCTGACTTTTGAGAGTATGCTGGGTTTTACCTCTTCTGTCTGAAAAAAAAAATCTTTATCACCATCTCAAAAGATAACGTTTTTAGTATTTTAGTCCATGTTAGTAATTAAATAGGTGGCAATTTTTTGCCCTTTTAGCATTGTGCTGAAAAAGAGAGTTTTTATTGAGTTCTGATTGATATTTTAGTAGTATGACATGGATGTCACCTTTTTAGTTTGCATATTTTTTTTTTGTATTTGCAAAAGACATAATGTCATATGTGGTCTAATAAAATTGAACTGAATTGATACACCGGGAGGTGCTTTCGGCATGCAGACTTCAGGCAAAGGAGAGACCCCAGTGATAGGAGTTCCCCTCTTTAGTGAAACCCTGGTCTCCAGACCTCTAAATCCTCAGCTAGGGGAGCACTCTTTATCAGAATGCCACAGAGGCACTCCCCCATCTCTGGCTAGGGGAGCAAAGCAACCCCTCTCCCCCCCCCCCCGAACTTCATGTAGACACCTAAAACTTTGGTCAAGGGAGAGCTTTCTGTGATGGGTCACAGCTGCCCAAAAACCCTGGGCAAGGGGGGCACTTCGTACAGGCATGCCCTCCTACCCACTCCCTGCATATGCATCCCTGAAAGCCTCTCGTAAGGGGATATGCACAATGCAGCAGCCCCCAAATCCAGGAAACTCCTCACATAGGGATCCCCAAAACCTGAGGCAAGGGAGAGTGCCCTGAATAGACTCCCTGAAACCATGGGGCGCCCAGACTGCCAAACCCTCTGAGAGGGAGAGTGTCTAACTGGGGATGTCTGTCTAGACTCAGGATGTGATGTGAACACCTTGTATTCACTTCTGTCCCTCAGAAACCCCAGTGTGTGGTAAAGAGGATCTTCCAGACTCATGAAGGGCATTTTGTATGTAGATCCCCTCACCCTCCAACTAAACATGGGTGATGCTGTGTGTTTTGTACAGACTTCCATGAAACTGTAGAGGTGAGGGCACCCTGTGTACTCACCCCTGCAACCGCCATCACAAACCCAGAAGGTGTCATACATACTCTTTACTACAACAGGATTATAGGGCATTCTGTGTATCAACCCGCATCACAAACTTGGGAGTGTTGTCTACACAGACTCCCAAGAATGGGATGTGGTGGTAATCTTTATGGACAGCCCCCTATCTCCCACCAGCTAGGGGACCCTATATATAGAACCACCTAAAAAAGCACAAAGTGTAACCCTCTCAAACCTAGAAAGGTACCATGTGCATAAATCCCCTCCAAAAATGGGGTGGTTGAGGAGCTGTTTTATACAGACTGCTAATGCCTCACCCCAAAATATTTGAGGATAGGGAGGGGTTCCCTCGGTGCTTATATCTCAAAAACACAGGAGTAGGGGTGGCTATGCAACTTTCCTGTGTGCATCTAAACTTCCCTGTCCCCTGGATAGGGAATTGATCTTCTGTTCTCTGACATCCCTTGTTTAGTGTGCTCCTATAATGCTGATTTTCCTGTTGTGCACATGCTATGGGCTGAAATGTCTGAAGTCTGTCATCTATTGTCTCCCTGTAGTGGAAGGACATTACCCTGCCCTACCCTTTCTCTTGGATTCCTCTGTTTATCGTAAACGAAGAGGTTCTTAGCTAGAGTTTCCTGGCATATTTATTGATTGGTGTTATCTGAAGCTATGACATTGATGCTGTGTGCTGAGAAATCACATTTTAATTAATTATTTGCATTACCATAGCGCCTAGGGGCCCTAGTCATGGACTAGGATCCCATTGTATTAGATCCCTTAGAAACAGGATAAAAAGATGGTCCCTATCCAAGTATAGATCCTTATACAATTTAAGTATAAGACAATAGGCAGTAGATGGATACAGACAGATGGGAGTACAGAAAACAGTAAGACAGTATTGAGCATGGGATAGGCTGTGGTTTCAGCACACTGTTAACCTAACTGTTGTCAAGTTTTTGTAGGCATCACAGCAAAGGAGTTTCCAGGAGGATAATGAGTTAGTTTTGCAGACATTTATGGAGACCTCGTTCAAGCATGAGGGGCAGCATGGAAGAAAGCACAAAGGTGATTGTGTGAAAATTTAACAAGTGGGTGATGGAGGCTGGCATTGTGGAACGATAGAAGATGGGAATCGACATCTAGTGGCGAATGAGAGATGATAGGTAGGATGTGGTTAGGCCACAAAGGGCCTTGAAAGTGAAGACACAAGCTGCTGGTGTTTAATGTGATTGCGGGGGTGAAGCAAGCACTGCAGAGGGATGCAAAAAGAAGGGTGACAGTCAAAGCAATGGGCTAGGGGAATGATTTTTGCAGCAGCATTCTGAATGGATATGAACGGGGCAAGATTGCATTTGTCAAGGCCAGAGAGAAGGATGTTGCAGTAATCAAGACGTGAGCTGATGCGAGTTATATGGGTAGATAAGAAAGGCCATTTCTTAGAGATGTTATGCAGAAAGAATTGGCCAGATTCATAGCCTGGAGGACCTAGAGAGAAGTCCAAGTCAAAGATGATGCCCAAATGATGGGCCTTAGTGACAGATTGGTGCTGTCCAGTTATCAAGAAAGGAGGTAGTAGGGAGGGCTTGTGGGAAAGATTAGGAGCTTTTAGCCATATTAAGCTTGCGCTGACAGCTACACAACCATGAGGAGATGTTACAGAGAGAGGCCAAGATTTTTAGTTTGGGCAGGAGACGGGTTTGGAGTCTAGCAGTATATCTGTGAGTCACATGATTATGTTGCTATTATCTTTCCCCTTCTCTGTCTCATTCCTTCTGTGTCTGTTTCTTTCACTTGCTATGTTTTCAGGGTAGGTTGTAAGCTGTTTGGGGTAGACTGAATCCTAGTGCAGAAGACTGAGTAAGTGCTGGTTTGGTGTACCCTCAGAATAGCAACAGCATGTCAGAGGTGGGCAGGACCCCCATCTAGGTGAATGAGATAGGAAGATGGCTTAGCGGCAAAAGGAAGAGACGGTTCACACTTAAAGTCCTAAAAGTCCAGGTGTTCTTTCAGGATACAGCTGGGGGGAGGTCGAGGGGGATGACACTAAAGGATGTAAGGAGGAGAGGGGTTTGGAGCTGTAGGCTAAAGTGAAGAGGGAGACTTTAATGGTAGAGATCAGGGCTTAAATTCAGCTGGAGCTGTCCAGAGTGGAGCGCCAGTAAATATTTGCAACCCTCCTGGAGTTTTTATAGCATGTTGCAGAGCATGGAGGGGCTCCAGGAAATAATCTATAAGAATTTATGCTCTGGTAGAGATGCAGAGGTAATGGCTCAGAAGTGGAGAGTTTTGAACAGACTGAGCAGCACCAGTAAAAGAGCAATCAGGAACAGTCTTAAATGATGTGTCTTTTGAATATTTGTTTCTAATGTTAGAATGGTCAGTTCTTCTTGTGAGGGCTAACAACTCAGTTCCTGCCTGCAGTTGTGGAAAATACTGTCCACCACAGAAGTGTTTTTATCAAATGTTTGTGTGACTACTAATTATCTTCTAAGAGTTCAGTTCAACTAGTCATCATCTACATGTTAACAGAGGAAGATAATAGCTTTCCTGTGGCTCAGACCTCATTATAAATAAGAGGGGAGAAACACTGAAGACTTCAGGGGAAATTGAAAGCCAGGAACTACTTATTTTATTATATCAGGTCACCATGAATGGTTTCTTCCACATATAATGTGATTATTTTGAACACACCCAAATAAATAGACGGAAGTTGGAGTGTCACTCAGAAACTGATAAGTCACTGAGGAAGCCATTATCACAAAAAGATGTACATTAGTAAATGCCATCAGTTATGTATGTTGGGCATTATTTTCCCTACCTGTACCCCTAGAAAGATCAAGTATTAGTGTAATATAGTAGTAAAATGTTCTAACATTGCGTGGGAGGGGAGCTATGCCTCGTGCTTACTA